TCCCTAGTGACTAGTGAGCTTCCGTATGTTCTTCTTTCAAGACTAAAGCGTGGCTTGTTTCTCTCTGTGGTTGGAGCCTAAGAGTGGAAGGGATGAAGAAACGTACTGAACAACGAAGATACTTCTTTAGCTTCTGCTCTCCGTTAACCCATTGCTCACCTTTGTAATGCTCTTGTTTAAGTTACATTTATGGCCATTAATGAGAATGACCTTTTGGAAATAAAAAGGGTAGAGTGGCTGCATCTCTGCCAGATTTCTTGTCATGTGACAAAGGGCACAGAGTAGGACAGCTTCCTGAATGATGCCAACATTTTGGCAATTTCCAAGTGGCTTGTTGCTCTGTATTTTCCATTTTTATGCCCTGCACACCACATACAATATTTCTACTAGTTTCTAAGCGCAGTGAGCACTATTGAGATCTACTCGATGAACAATTTACAAGACAGGGCTTCTTTATCCACACGAGATTCCACACGAGATTCTGGCAGGATGAGATTCTCCATTCCCTCACAGTTGCTATTTCCTTTCTTAAAAGTGCCAAGTCCTTTGCAGACTCCCCCCTGCTAGTCCCTGGCAGGCTCAGCACCTGTCTGGAATTACTGCTTCTAGAAGAGCAGAAGCCCCTCTGTGAAAACTTGATTTAATTGGTTGCTGGGTTATTTGTTGCAGTAGGTGATGACTGTTGTATGGTTTTCATGTCCCTTGTATTTTTTCACCCAGGATAAACCATCAGCTTAATCATAGGCCAGCAAGAAGTCACCGTGTGGCAAATGGCATGGTGTCATGACTCTTAAATGATATTAGATAATAATGTTGAGGTATAATATTTTCCCTCCTATGAACACCTGGGCATATGTTGCCATACTTCTTTTAGAATATCTGCAGTTGTTAATTTGAAATTAGTTTGCAGACCTAGCAAGTGACCCATATTGATTTGTTGCTTAATGATGCATTGCTTAAATTGATTTAAGTTGACAAAAGCTATGAGGAGACACATGTTACTTTCTAAAGTGCCATTAACACTTTTAGCTGGAATTTCCGTAAGGTCTAAGTTCTCACTGAAAGTCAGGAAGAAGTTTGTGGAAAGAGCCTCCCTTTGAAAATCCAGTCCACAAGGTCTAAATGATGAGTTTGCCCAGCCACTAACAGCATGTAGGATATGATTGAAAGGGACTGAGCAACATAGTACACTGCTTTGCTACTTCACCCTCTGATAAAAGTAATTATCCAAACTGAAAATAAGCTCACACTGCCTATGAGAGTTAAGGCAAACAGAATTCAAAAGTTATGGTTAGCAACAAGCTTCTTAGGTACAACAGGTTTGCAAGTCCCAAGCCAAACATACACTCTAGAAATATGTAAATTTAGGGAAATTATTAAAAATCCAGTTTGCAAAATCCATCGTCTCAGTCTTCACTGTCTCCTGTATTAGCACTCATCAGCCAAGAGCTGAGAGTTTCTGGACAGGCTGAGTTTGAACAACAGATACCTTAGAAAAACATCAACTAGAGCTGAAAAGAAATGTAATTAGCAAGTGAGATCTGAGTGGGTGGCTTACTTCTTAAGGACATTTTTGCTCTGTTTATCTCTGCTCTGATTTTTCAAGCTTGAATTTTTTAGTAGTCTTAGTATGTTTCCAGAGGGTAGTGGCATTTTCATGAAATGCCAAGTGTCTTCAGATACTTTCTAGACAGCTGTTTTAGAAAGTACTGGAGGGCTCCTCAGGAAACTTTGTTACCAGCTCTTGCAAATGAACTGTGATTTTTGACCCTGCTGCAGGCAGCCCTGGGTGGGCAGGAAAAATCGCAGACTTCGTGTGATTTTAGTAGTCTGACGGAAGATGCTTTTGATTGCAAGCCCAAATAAAATTTTTTCTAGTCCCACATCATCTACTGCTGCTATTAAAATCACTGTGATCTTTGTAACTCTTAGTATAAGCCAAGGCTTATATCTTTGTTATCTCAAGGGGCTATTCTTGACCCATTTCACAGAAGACTGAAGCTTGCATGAGATTACTTCAGAACAGGACTGCTGTCTGACATGACTGCGTATGCCATTCAATTAGCTACAGCAAGACTGGCCACTTCTGTAGCTCGGACTGACTCTTAGAGGGGTCTGGATCCTAGTCATGGTGTGGTCCTGCCACTTGTGGCTAAGCCTGAAATATAGAAAAGTATGAATTCACTCTCCTCCTTTCCTGTTAGGTTTTGTGAGGCAGACAAGAAACAGATCTTCTCAGATGATCTACAAGAAACTGTATTTCAGAGCCATTCAAATAATTCTTAGGAATTTTCATCCTTTTTTTTCATTATTTTTTTTCATAATGTTCAGGAAGGCCTGAAGGCTTCAGCTGTCCTTTATCTGCCCTGTTCAGAGAGAGCCACTGGGGCCCAGAGTAAAAACCTCTTTCATTTACCAGATGTCACTGAATAACTTTTCTCTGATCTGTGAATGTAGCAGCATATTGCTACTCACGCAGTTTGTTTACAATTCCTTCCCTTCCACCTGGGCCATTGCCATTTTAAAGGGGAAAGGGATGCACCTTATTGTATTCCAGACGGACTTCAGCCAAAGTTCTGCCGTCTGCAAGACTTCTGAGATGAAGTAGAAACTGGACATTGATCCATGGAGTTCTGCAAATTAGGAAGAGTTGTTCATTTGCATGTCCATCCTGCAGAAGTGCACACATCCAAGTACTCAAGAGTAGAGCCTTTTTATCCTTACTGTTATCTGTAAGGTACGTTTACACCCACCTTGCCACAGGACAGCTTGCACTTACTATAAATCAGTAGGGCAAAACCAGTCTCCTCAATTTTTCTCAAGCATCTGGCATAACTGGACCTTTTATGTTGCAGTTGGTTGAGCACAGGCTTTAGCTCTTAAAATTGTGTTCAAGTCTTTGATTTGTATGATAAAATACAATTTTTTTCCTAAAAATATTTTCAGTATATTTCTCAGAAGCTGTCAAAGAGACCTCCCCACTTTCCATTGATCTCGTTTTCCTTGAGGACTTATTGGGTCAAGACTGTTTTTCCCGCCATGGCATGAGACTGCTCTATCTGATTAGATGAGTGTGCTGATGCATTTCAAATCTTTTTCCATCCAGCTCCAGAATCAGTTTGAAACACAGTACATCATGCCCTGCCTACCTGAATTGCAGCCATTCTATTCCATGGACACAACTTCAGAAGACGCCAATGCACATACCCTCAAAGTGTTGCGTTCAGTTTCACATCCTCAGCGATGGAAGTTGCTTTTATTCATGTATCCAATTTCCAAATTTCATGTTGCTATTGCAGCCCTGGAGAGAATTCGTAAGTCCAGTGGCCCCATAGTCCAGGACTGTAAAGCTGAGGCATCCATGAATCTAGAGCTATATTATTATATATATTGCAAATTATCAAGTCTTACTGGCTCAGTGTAACTGTCTTCTTTGGGACTCTTTCACCTGAAAAGGCTACAGAAATTTTACAGAGCAATTGTCTGTTGATATCCTAAAGCTCTCTTTCACATAGGGCTTGATACTGTGGATACAAAAATAGGTTTTGTATCTTCAATTATGCCACTGAGCTGCCTCCTTACAAACATGTTGACTGCTCATGGAGACGTGACAGGCAATTGAAAATGCCCTCTTGGAGGAGCCAGAATTGTCTGGTCTTAGATCTTAAGAAGTCCTTATCTCCTATAAAGAATCAAAGATAATGCTTTGTTCTTTGGGAACAATTTATTATCCGTTCTGAGAACCAAGCAGTTTTATGGCGTTTTGTAAATTGTCTTTAAAAACACAGTCATTTGCTGCATTGTCAACATCACAGACCTTACTAGACTGAGTGAATCCTTAAGATGCATCATCAACACTGTAATGATGTGGCCTAGCTTATATCCACTAGGGTGTTTCTCAGATCTTATGTTCTAATCAACACTTTTGAAGACGTGGACTTAATCCATTTCTCACTGTGTTTCGTTTCCCTCCCTGTGCCCCTGTAGATGGCTGTTCTCCCATTTTCAGTAGCTTTCCATACCTCTCATAATGAGGTATGGAAACCTTCCAGGTTACCTGCCTGGAAGAAAGGACGTGTGGTCCACTAAAAACACTTCCAGTCTATGTCGCTTAGTAGAAACATGAGCGCTGTAAAATGTAGTTTGAGCGTTCCTCACACAGACCAAGTGTAGCTTGTGACACAGAACAGCATCACATGTTCTGCAGGAGAAAATCGTTTCCTTTTTGCCTGAAGGTGGACATGCTTTGCAAAGCATGCATGCACTATCAGTTTAACTCCTAAGGATCTCAAGTACTGCAGCAGATAGATAGAGCCAGTTCAGACTGGCAGACTGTGACTGAGTATACTGGAATGGCATCTTCAGAATGGTTTGTTAGAGTTCATCGATTTTTTTTTCCTTTGGCCACCTACATGGCACGCCAGTA